GTACATAATAAAATATTGGATTCAAGTACATACTACATATCTATAGAGTATGAAATTGGTAATTCTAGGAGCATGGACTGCTAATTTTATGGAAAGAAATATAACAGACCACTGTTAAAGGCACAGTAAGTTTGAACTTCTGTTTATACCCTTGCTATTTTCTTTTATATTCAACCCCTGCTGCAATTGAGTTGGATGTAAACATCATAGGCAAGAAAAACAAAAAAGAAAAAAAAAAAAAAACAAAGGGAAGAAACACTGGAAGGATAAAACGACAGTCTTCAACACCAACATCACTGTCACATTCTCTACCTATGCTTGTTGACAGGTATATATTCATTTGTTTTAATTTAAAGTTTCAGCCAAATTGAAGAACAATTAATGCTAGCTAAACATCCATCTATACACTTGCAAACATGATAGCATTTATTGTAAAGGACTAGATGTTATGTGTGAAAAAGCCATTGTTTGTCTGCATCCAAACAGCCTATGTGATATGCTTATTAATGTTTATGCTTTTAATTAATGTAAGTGCTATTATTTTTAGTTAATTTGACTTAGATTTTACATGCATCTTGGACTTTAAAATCAATTTTTGCATTACAAAACCTTAACGCCATTTATATTGAACTAAAGAATACTTCAGATTAGTATACCAAATGATGGCATACAAGGTAGATTAATAAAAATATTTAGAATTAATAATGCTACACACTTATAGCCCTTTTTTACATAGTTATAATTCTTATGTTGATTGATTTAATAATGTTAAGCATTTATGCTGCAAGTTCTTTATTATGATTAATCTCTGATTTTATTAAATTCATAAGTTCACTTTGACAATCTAGGGTTTAAATACAAATTAACATTGATTTAATTAATATTATGCTCAATTTAAGGTACTTAAGTGAATTATTGAAGTAATTGTGGTTATCATGATTAGTAAATTGAATCAAAATCCATGGTTATTGGTGTAGAAAAGGGGTTTAGAGGTAGCTGATGCATTCAATTTGTGGTTATTGAAAGAATTAAGGAACTTATCGATGCTTGTTTAATTTATAAGTTCAATGGTTCTGATTAAATGGTTAGTGTGTTCGATTTACACATCTTATGAAACTAATTACCAACAAATAATCATTTTTAGTGTAGAATAGATACCAACAATAGATGGTGTTTGTTGATATTTATTAAATACTAATCATATTTTGTGTAAAGTAATCATTATGTAACTATTTAACAGCTTTTACAAATAAATTGTCTTTCTAACCCATGCATTTCAAGTAAATATGTGGCATTTCTTGTATAAGATTGTAAAAGTTTATATATCCTGCAATGGCTTACCTAATTTAGTGCTTTTTATATAGAGGATTCTCTTATGGCACCTCAACGAAGGTTTCTGGATGAACTCGATACATCGAGTAGGTCATACAAGGTAAAAGTGAAGATTGCAGAAAAAGGTCGACAACAAGAATCTGAAAAGAAGGTCTTATACCAGTACATAATAATTCAAGATGACAAGGTATAATCTAAACATGTCATTTACAAATATACAATTGCCTTTTAATAAATCATGATATACAAGTGTATGATAGCATGTTCTTATTGTGTTTTATAATAGAAAAATCGCATGAAGATGACACTTTTTGGTGATCAAATCGAAGCATATAAAGATGTCATCTTGTTCAGAGGTAGTTATGACATTGCTAATGCCATAATAAGAACATTAGATGCACAATGGAGAGCAAGGGAATCAGATCTTCCATTTTAGATGATATTAGGAAGTAGAATTTTCATCCAGTCCTTGGATCTTGAAGGAGAACAAGTCTATCCTAGATACCAATCGCTTGCTTCTATTCCAAGAGTTGATGATGATGATGATGCTAGACATGGTACACAACACATTTGAGCCTACATTTAAGCCTTTGGATTATATATATCCCCTGTTGACACTTTTCCTTTTGCTGTAGATGTACTAGTTATTGTGCTCTATGTTGCAAGGGAACCAAGAAAGATTGTAACAACTTTGAACAAGGAGACTTGATGGTGATAGATCATTGGTGATTGCATTTACTGCTCACATATTTAACTTCATTATTTCATGAGTACCATTCCTTGTCTTCTGATGTTTATGTATATACTTTCAACACTGATCAACTAATGAAAGTATGCACCTGGAATGATTTGTTTGGAAAAGAATGTGAAACACTGGTTTCTAATAGTGACTCATTTAAGATTATTGGCATAATAGGTCTACGTCCTATCACTCGCAAAGGTAGCCCATAAAACACCTTACAAAGTGTTTTCCTTAGTTGACCTAATTTAGAGACTATCAATAACATGATATACATTTAATGGCATCTTAAAATCACAGGCTTCCAGATTGAGTCAACCATGTCTACTGTGATAATCAAGAATCTTGAAGGTGAAAAGGCAGCTGAATTAGCTAAACGGTATACCAATTTAAACTTGCTTACTTAGAAACTGCATTCAAAATGTTATTATGATATCCTGAGTAATGAATATTATAACTGTTAATAAGAGGGCAAGGAAGCATCAAAGTGTATCAAGCTAGAGTTAGAGTTTCCTGGAATCCACCTGCAAAGAGAATTTTAACAACCATAGGTCGCATTAAAGCAAAATAAGGTATACTTATATGATTCAAAATGCATATAAAGGTACTAGAAACTCCTTTTCATTCATTGATAAGCATGTTTCCACATTCATCAGAGTTATAAAAATACAATTATCCCTTGTATTTAGTAAGTTAGAGCTAGGTAATAAGGTAGCACACATCAACGTAATAATATAATAGTTTATATTATAATGTAGGCAACAAGAACTCTTCCACAGGAAATATATTGGCTAAGAGTTGTAGCACCAGATCTTGCATATGAAAGGCTCAGGGCATATATAGGATGTTCTCACTGTGGCAAACGAACACATTTGATTGTTGGAGAAAGCTTTAATTGCATAGCTTGCAGACGAAATGAAGTATATACTACTCACCGGTAAAAATAAACTACCAACACAATTAGATTGCTATAATAATGAATACTTTGCAACCATAGCAAACTCACACTGATTTATAAAATTATACAGAGCAACTATTACTTTCAATGTCTCTGATGGAACAGGAACATTACAACTTACTACATGTACTGAGAACTGTGTTCCATTACTAGGGATGTCAGCTGAAGATCTTTATCAAATGAAAATACTGGTAAATAATCTACCACCTGCATATCATGTTAACACTTCTGACTTTTCCTGGTGTGATAAAATACTTGCTTCTAAAGTAACCCAATACTATTTCTCTTTCAAGAAGATACTGACAAGTTTTCCCAAATTGCTTTCAAACTAGCAACTACATATTTTCTAAATAAGATTGGGCCTACAACTGCTCTTTAGCAGAATGAGGTTTTACAATGGGGTCTGAAAGGTGTGGAAATAGAAGACACTGACACAGCTGTTACTGCCGGTTGCAGCTCCACAACCATTCCTACAGGATCTATAATCAAAGTTACAGAAGCAACAGGTGATACCAAAGATGTTGATACTGCCACAGGCACTAAAATGAAGGCAAGAGATACAGAGGCTTTAAGAAAAACCATCAAGAAAGAGACTGTTAAGGCTATTGACTTATCAATCTTCAGTTAGGAAGAGGAAGATGCCTGCTTATTAGCAGAATCAATGGTTGTAGAAAATCAGGTTGCTCAATCTTACACTGAAGATTCTGGACAGAAAAGAAAGAGATCTGAAGTTGATGATGAAACTAGTATCACTACACCAGCAAAGGATGTCATTAAACCAGCAACACAGTCAGCAGTCAAAAGGACAGACTCCATCAAAGAAAAAGAAGCAGAACAAGCTGCTCATGCTGCTCTTAATGGGAAGGCTATTAGCTTCGAGGGAGAAACAATTGTTCCAGAGAAAGAACAGATTGTTAAGCAAGAAAAAGAGAGCATGCTTCGAGCCCTCGTCTTTCATGATGATGACTCTGTTGACATATAACAAGCTATAAACCAGACTTATGGCTAATCAGTTGGGTAACAGCTTCATCTATTAAATCTTTTGTTATGTATCTACTTACTACGGCTAGGCTTTAGTGTTGAAGTTTTTGCGAATGTGGCTTTCATTTGAAACAAGTATCCCTAGACTACTTGTTCTTAGATAGTGCCACTTAGATTAAGGAAGTATCCCCTATGGTTAAACCTTTTGAAGAATGTGGTTTTGAATAGGAACATGCCAGGTTTCTTAACAATACTTGTTCCTATGTAACACCACTTGTTAAAGTACCAAGCTCGACAAACAATGTAATTAGTCTATCTTTTGCTGCCTAATTACTTAGGCGTGTCTTACAAAATAATCAGGCATTATGTACTTAGAATATAAGAAGGAGGTGGCTTTCTATTTCTATAATATTGTAGCCATATGACCTTCTGCTTATTATGTAAATATAATGTGAAATATTATATGGTTAAGTACTTCAAGTGTGTTATCTCTTTACTTATTAGAATCACTAGAAAAATGAGCTAATAAATACACTAACTTATCATTCTTTCAGAGAAGTATAAGAAGAATAATTAGTTTACAGAATCATCAAGTGCTATATCCATAAACCATCACAAAAGATTACAAATAAATGCTGAATTTCCATACATGAGCAATAAAGTATATCCATTAATCAAACCACCTAATATGTAACCCTATAATTTCATATATGAGTTCATCATCATCTAACCTATACCAAGCATAAATATAAGCAATATAAACAATAAAAAGCAACACAAAACTAATGCTTTTAAACCAAGATCAACGATTATTTATATATCATAACTTCATTCATTTAGCAACTACAACCTCCTGTTCATACATCCTAATTACATACACTACATCTTTACAGTTAAGTAGTTAGCTTCTTTAATCACATACATACATATATGTGTGTGTGTGTGTGTGTGTGTGTGTGTGTACACACACACACACACACACGCCTTCAATCATGGACTTTTCATTGCATACATATCAGAATCCTCACTTGTTCCCTCAACTTCATAGTGGTTCCCAAAATCAGAATCAAAACCACTATCATTGTCATCATCATCATCAGAATAGTTTCCAAAATCAGAACCACTGTCTGATTCAAATGATGCATCCGATTTTGGAACAGCTTATTCTTCAGTCTTGGTTTCTGAATCAGAATTTAGGTCACTTTTAGGCTCTTCATCAGTTTCATCATCTGCCTCACTCTCGCCTTCTTCTTCAGTCCCACCTTCTTCCTCAATTATGGCTTTATCTTCATCACTATCTGATTCAACCACAATTACTTTTCGTTCACGCTCATCACCATCAACCTCTCGCTGTCTTTTACTGCTCGGTTCTCCTTCTTCCATTTTGCGCTCCATCTTCGAGGTACCTTGTTGTAGTAAGGCCAGATGATTGTTCATCTGCTTTGTAACATAGGCAAAATATAACAAGAAACTTGAAATATTCTCTTCTTGTGATTTGCTTGCATTCGACTTCTAAGCAGGTGGTGCGAAGACTTTCCCAAGAGGTCGCAGTACTATCAGTACTCGCCATTTTTTTTTACTTTTTTTTTGCAGAAGAACGAAGATGAAAGAAAAAAAAAAGAAGAACAGAAAAGGAAATGAAAGAAAAGTATTATAAACAAAAGAGTTTCAAGTACACAGTTTGACCAATCAAAACCAAGTTCAATAATTATTACACATTCTTGAAAGAATAAGACTATATGTCTTCCAAAAAGTACAACTTTAGAAATTCTTCACTTCAATACTTAATGTTTCCTATTATGCATAGTATCTGTACACACGTGTGTTGGGACCGTTTCTGATTTTCGTCAATTGTTTTTTTTTTTTTTGTTTATACGCCATTTTAAACCGAATTATCTTCAAATCTTAAATTTAAAACTATATGTTTCATTGTGTCTCATACATTCGTATCCCTTTTAATAAAAATAAAAATAAAAAATAGACAACGTGATAGTATCTTTTAATACAATATTGCATTTTATTATTATCATTATTTTGTAAAAAAAATAACCAACGCTTAAATACCAAGCTCATATCCATTTTTAATAAAAAAAAAATTAAATAATACAACAATAGTTATAATTAAATAAAACGATTGTACCAAATTTACTTAGAATCCAAAGTGGTTACATTCGATAACAACACAACTCTTAGATACTAACATCCTAACTGATTAGGGGATTTTTCCCTAACCAATCATCGTCTGACAAATGGACCAATCAGGCCCTACCATGTGTCTGCCGCATGGGCCACTAGGAGTCTGCCACGTGTCAGGGGTTGATCGGTCCACCATGGACCACTTGTGTCACGACACGTGTCCTCCCCTATGCCAACCAGGCAAAACGGCCACCTAGGCCCAATCCTTGGAAAAAGCCCAGTCAGCCCTAGGTTAACCTAAACCTAGCATTTGGCACGCATCCCAAGGCATATAAATATGATCATTAATCCTCATTAGGGGGGAGGACGTTCATTAATTACTCTCACCTAGAGAAAACACTTTACCTTTTTCCGCATTAATTACTCCTTAAACAAGTACTAACTTGACCATCGGAGGCGGAGCTCCAACCACCCGGAGTCTCTGTTTGTTTTGCATGTACAGGTGCACGGTTCCAGTCTCGGAATTGTAACTCTCCCGCAGGACATCAGAAAACCCCGAAACATTTTGGCGCCGTCTGTGGGGAGAGTACTTTTGAGATGGCAACAAAGTCTGTACCAGAAGAGAGGCGTCTAGAGGACGACCCTCAAGTATACTCAGACCATGATACTGAGAATGAGGTTGAGGTTGAAACACACACAACCTCAGACGGGACCCTAAGGGCTCGTTGCACCCGTCACACCGAAAGGAAAGAACGGGTAGATCACCAAGCTGGACCCAGCAATCCAGTCGGCCAACCGCCTGAGCAACAACAGGCGGCTGAAGGGTCTGCTCCCATTACAAGAAACGAACTCATGACTTTCATGAGGGGGGTCAAGGGGGAGATCCAAGAGTTGATTAATAAGAAGACGCCTGCTCTCTCTAAGGAGTAGTCGGCCAGAAAACCTTCTCATTCAGGAAGGAGGAAGCTTGTTCAGGGTCGAGAGGCGACCCCCCACCCTAACTCTAGGAAGTGGGAGCCGCCTGTGATCGACCTAACAAAGTATCGTTTTCCCTCACTAGGGAAAGAAAGCCCATTCGTCATATACAAGCAGACGGGTCGAAGAAAACATACTCAGATGCTCGGCTGTTGCTAGAACAAAAGAGGAACGAACGACTGTCAGAGTCGACTTCCACTTCAGATTTCCAAGACAGTCCGCACAAAACCTCTATGAGGTTCACTCAGTCAAATTATGAGAGCCAGACAGGCGGTACCTCCCGTCGGTCTGGATTTCATAAAGAACAGGCGGTACCAAACATGACATACGTATCGCAACAGCAATATTTCTTGCAGCCACCTCTGTTTGGAGGACAGGTGGCAAATAATGTCCAACCTTTGGACTGGCAACTACGGTTGCTTAGACTTGGAGAACAGCCGTCCGCCTTTTCCAAGGAAATTACAGAGGCCGCCCAGCCGGCCAAAGTCAAGAATGTGCTAGTAGGCGCCTATGATGGCACTACTAACCCTGAAGACCATTTGATGGCGTTCACCAACCTAATGTACCTTCAAGGGTTGGATGATCCCACTTGGTGCAAGTGTTTTCCAGCGACTCTCAAAGGAATCACACAACAATGGTTCGGCAACCTGCCGACTGGTTGCGTGAACAATTTCAAGACGCTTGCTTACTTGTTCACCTCCAACTTTGCTATGAACATTCCTGCAAAGAAGACGACCCTTGATTTAGGGACCATTCAGCAGGGTGAGAAGGAAGGACTCCGTTCTTATATCAGGCGGTTGATGAGGATACAGATTCAAGGGCTGCCGGATGAAGTAGCCTACACTGATTTTTTCAGAGGTCTCAAGGATGGGTCGACCTTCAAGTTTGACCTGGTTCGAAAGAGAGTTGTGACTCTCCAAGAAGCTCTAATTGAAGCTGAAGCCTATATTCAGGCGACTGATCTCTGTAATACCAAAAAGCAGTCGGATGGACGGAGGTCCGACAAAAAAGAAAGCCGACCAAAGCAGTCGGCCAATAAAGATGAGAAAAAGAGAAAAGAAGTCTGGGAGGCCGACTCCTCTAAACAGCCAGCCTAGAAAAAGAAAAAAGAGTTCAAACCATACTCCCCGAAGTATGCGTTCAGCAAGGATAGCCAAGCTATCCTTAAAGAAATCAAGAGTCGGATCTCAATCGAGAAGCCGGCCCCCATGAAGGGTTCTGCAAGCAATCGGAACCAAGACAAATTATGTCATTATCATGAAGACGTTGGTCATGAAACCAACGAATGTATCAGCCTCATGCGCTACCTGGACCGCCTGGCTGAACAAGGCGACCTTGACTCCTATGTCAAGAAGTCTAAGGGGAACACTTCCTCAAAGAACAAGCAGTCGGCCAAAAAGAATCATCAACAAGCCGACAGTTCTAATACAAATGATGCAGTCGTTTACACTATTGCAGGCGGCTTCTCAAGAGGCGGCCCCACTATCAGGGGCAATAAAGACAATATCAGGCGGCTAGATGTTAATTCCGTTCATCAAGAACGGACCGCCAAGAGTTCATTCCCAGAAATTGTCATCACAGAAGAGGATCTGGGAGGGGTTAAGGGGCCGCATGATGACCCCATTGTTATTGAGTGCAAAGTGGCCAACCAAAGAGTTGGCCGGATCCTCATAGATACCGGTAGCTCCTCTGATCTTATCAGCAGCAAGTGCCTGGCAAAGCTCAAGTACAAGACTGATTGTATACATCCGGTATCCCACCCTCTAGTAGGGTTTGGAGGAGGAGTCGTACACCCAGTAGGGCGAGTGGATTTACCCATCCGCTTGGGTAAGAAAGGGGAGGACCGTCACATGGTGGTCCGGTTCTTAGTGGTTGAGGAACTCTCGGCCTATAACATGATCCTGGGACGACCCACCCTGAACAACTCTAAAGCTGTCATTATCCCCTCTCTTATCCTGCTCAAATTTGAGAAGGATGATGGAACAGTCGGCTCCCTAAGGGGAGATTAGAAGATGGCTTGAGAGTGCTACCTCTCGGATATCAAACTCACTGTGGTCGCTACGGACCTTGAAATTATCAAGGAAGATGCGCCTGCTCAAAAAGCAGGCGGCGAGAAAAGAAAGGCTGCCCAATCGGGAGCCGAAAGGAAAGACAAACGATAGCAATCACTGGTGGAGGAGCAGTAGGATGAATTCCGTCCTCAGCCGGCTGGTGAGCATACGGACGTCGTGCTGGACGACTCATGTCCTGACCAAACGATCAAAGTTGGGACGACTGCTCTTAAAATTCTGGGTGTAGATTTTCACCAACTTTTGAAGGAATTCAAAGACATCTTTGCATTCGAGGTTCATGAAATGCCAGGATCAGTCCTGACCTGGCGGTATATAAACTGGCTGTGGATCCGAAAAAGAAGTCGGTCAGGCAAAAGAAACGGAACCATGGCGAAGAGAGAAGTCAGGCGGCTGTTGCCGAGCTTAAAAAGCTGCTTGATGTCGGGTTTATTCGGCAATGTTATTTCCCTAACTGGGTTGCAAATGTGGTACTAGTAAAGAAGCCGAATGGTACCTGGCGAATGTGTGTGGATTACACAGATTTGAACAAGGCGTGCCCCAAAGATAGCTATCCTCTGCCCAAAATTGATAGTCTGGTCGACTCAACAGCCGGCCATGCTTTAATGAGCTTTATGGACGCTTACTCTGGCTTCCATCAGATTCCTTTGTGGAAGAAAGATCAGGAGAAGACGGCCTTCGTCACTGATAAAGGGTTATATTGCTACACGGTCATGCCGTTTGGTTTGAAAAATGCCCCGGCCACCTTCCAAAGAATGATAAATACGGTCTTTTTTGATCAAATTGGGAGGAATGTCGAGGCATACATAGATGATATGATCGTTAAGTCCAAGCTTCAGACAGATCATCTAGCGGACCTCTGAGAAACATTCACCACACTCAGGCGGCCTTGGGAAGATTTCTCAGCCGCTCAGGCGACAAGTGCCTTTACTTTTTTCAGGCAATAAAGAAAAAGGCAAGGTTTGAATGGGGGCCGGATACTGAGGCGGCCTTCCAAAAACTGAAGGTTCACTTACATTCCTTGCCAAGGCTGGTCAGTCCCTTGCCCAAAGAAGTGCTTTACATGTATCTAGCAATATCTTACCATGCTCTAAGTGTCGTCCTCCTTGCTGAAAGAGACGGCTGCCAGCTACCGGTTTACTTTGTCAGCCATGTGTTAAAAAATGCCGAGTTGAGGTATCCCTTAGTGGAGAAATTTGGTCTTGCTCTTTTCAT